GGTAAAGTGGAAAAAATGGAAATGCCTAAAATCAGCACCGTGCTTATTTCACAGGAAATTTTTTATATATATTTTTGCTGATCTTTTTTGTGGAAAGATCACAAGCCAATATACGAACCCTCAATTCTTTTGAATTTCTGTGAATTTTTCTGAGCACGAAAAATCACCAAAGTCGCGCTTCTGAATTTGCAGGACCATGCCCGGCGGTTGGTGTCGGTGGCCGACCCTCCCCCCCCCCGGAAAAGGCTCAAAGTCACAAGGAGGGCACTTCCAACCACCAGCACTTCCTAAAGTCGTGCCGTTAACGCGCCACAATTTTAGGAAACGTACGGGCCACTACAGGAGCGCCCAAATTCATCCAACTAGAAACATTTCTACTATATTTTTTTCAGCGGCTGATAGCTGGGCCAAGTACTGGTGGTTTAACAAGCCACTATTTTTGGAAATGCACGGGCCACTGCAGGAGCGCCCAAATTTATCCGACTAGAAATGTTCTACTCGATTTTTTCCACGACCCATAGCTGGGCCAAGTACTGGCGGTAAAAACCACCAGTTCACACAATAAGGATGAGATCCCACCTAGCAAACGTGAACCTGGATGTGTTTGTGGAGAAGTGCAGATCGTTGCGATTGCTCTGCTTTCTGTATCTCTACATACAAAGCATCCAGATTCAGGCGTTTAATCAAATCTTCTTGGCTAGTGGCATCTCGCCCTAAGTTGACAAAGCTAACTTCTGAGGCTCGCAAGCCTGCAACTGTGCCTTTTCCGAAGTGGCCTACCACTTTGGCAGCCAGCCCAGGTCCGAATAGGGATGCTTTTTGGAGCAGTCATTATGTTCATCTGAACTGGTGGCTTAAATTGCCACTCCCCAGGACGTCAAAAACCTCGGGGGACCAGTAGCGCCATCGTTTCATGAGGGGTACCGGTAGCATAGAGTGGAAAACCGGGTGAATGGCAAAAATGGAATTGGTGTCAAAAGATTGAAAATGCACTGAATCATCGCGACAATTATTTCACAGTCAAAATTATATCATTTATTTATTCTGATATTTTTCCTTGAAAGATCACGACCTAATCTTCGGACCCTCGAATATTCAGGATTTTTGAAGAATTCTTCTGAGCACGAAGAATCACTGCCAAAGTTCCAACTAGTTCCAACTTTCAAATGGCCTCCCTAGAACCGGGCCCTAACTCACAGGGCCAACGGTTTTCAGCTGTCAGAAGGGTGGGGAGGGGGGGTGGCGGGCACCACCCCTCCGTAGGACCCGGCCCTAACTCACAGGGCCGAGGGTTTTCGGCTGTCCGAGAGGTGTGGGGTGGGGGGCGCCACCCCTCCGTAGAACCTGGCCCTAACTCACAGGGCCGAGGGTTTTCGGCTGTCGGAGGGGTGAGGGTTTTCAGCTGTCGGAGGGGTGGGTAGGGCCGAGGGTTTTCGCTGTCGGAGGGTGGGGGGTGGCAGGTGCCACCCCTCCGTAGAACCCGGCCCTAACTCACAGGGCGGCCTAGGGTTTTCGGCTGTCGGAGGGGTGGGCGGTGGCGGGCACCACCCCTCCATAGAATCCGGCCCTAACACACAGGGCCAAGGGTTCTTGGCTGTCGCGGGGTGACAGTTTAACGGCCGCGACTTTAGGGAGGGCCGCCAGCCAGGCAGTACATGGCATATGCAACAACAACACCCAATTCAGCAAAAGCTTAGTGTCTCTATAGTTAGGCTGCAACTTTTCGGTGGCACGGTTTTGGTTTTTGTCCGGGATCTGTAAAATTGGACTGCTAAGCTTTTGCTGTCCGCTTCAATTTTACAGATCCCGGACAAAAACCAAAACCGTGCCACAGAAAAGGTGCAGATCTGCCTATATGCCAAACTGGGGCCTCTTCGATCGGTTCTACCCATGCCACAAAAACCGGCCTCTTTCACCCAAGCTGTGCTCCCAGGTCCAACGGTAGGTCGTGCTCACACAACAAGGACATCTCCCCCAAAAGCTGACGACACCTGGACGTTATCAAGGTCAGATGCGTCCCCGCCTGGCTGTTATGGCCATCAAATACATCCCCAGAGGGTTAGTCTGTGTGCCCTTCACGGGAAGTGAAGCGTTGGCAATCCTGGCACCTGTTCACTGCAGGAATTTTCCATTTAATGTTCGACTCTTTTTCATTTAACCATTTGGCGTGTTGGGGAAATTTCGGACATAAGAGTCCAACACTTTTCAAGATCAGAAGTATATGCAGGGTCTCTAACGTCATGTTTAATGCAGGATTTCCAGGATTATTGTACTTCAATCGAAAGATTTGAACGGCTCCACAGCTGCAGACTATTCGATTCTGCAAATGGCCAGTATAGGAAACTTCTAGAAGGGCAGGACCGTGATTTCAGGATAACTGCGGCAGTCATATGCCACCCCGGATTTGTAACCCTCACAATGCCACTGATGAAACCCGTAAAGGAAACGACTGCGACCGACCAAAGTCGTAAAAAAAACTAGATGAAACCCATCAAAATAAAAAGAAACCGCACCTCTCCATTCCCTTTCTTCCCCACTGGCCCACTTCTTCTCACCTCTTTGATATTCTTTCTGCCTATTTCTCGGCTCCTGCATTCTTTGTCATCTCTCTCTCCCATTCTCTCTCTCTCTCTCTCTCTCTCTCTCTCTCTCTCTCTCTCTCTCTCTCTCTCTCTCTTTCTGTATATACAGCTCTAGTCTTTGGTATTCCCATGCGCTTCTGTCGTCTCTAACGCACGCATCCGCACGCGCCCACACGCTCAGATAACAGCGCACTCCCTTCGCGAGTGATCCCTAAATATCCCTTCCCCCTACCGTGCCCCTTTTGACCTCCCTACATTCCTCCTTTACCCCTCCATTCTGCTACCCGCAAAACATGCACTCGCACTCAGCTCAACGGTCAGTTTGTCTCGGTTGAGGAAGGCATCCCTCAAATGGGACTGCACCCGTTACCTCCGAAGGAAGGACGCAACGTGACACTGCACATACGCTCCGACCTGCTCCACCTCCTCTTCCATCTCCCAAAGAATCGCTGCTCTGGTCCCACTTCTGCAGGGAGAACCCCCTTCCCCCCACCAGCCCTCTCTCCCTGGCCGCCAGCTACCGACCGAATCGTTATCATATTTGTTTTCGATATTTTTCTACTAATTCGGTGCCATGATTCAGCACCAGTCAAATACGATGTTGTACTATATTACTTGGTTCCCTAACAGATTCGATTCCTTCGTTCAATTCACCTTGACCAAACGGTGCTCGATTCCTTCAAGTTGATCGATCAATCAAGCGACCAATCAAGCAAGCAATCAAGCGAGCAATCAAGTGACCAATCAAGCGAGCAATCAAGTGACCAATCAAGTGACCAATCAAACGAGCAATCAAGCGAGCAATAAAGCAAGTGCTACCGGCGCGCAATCACTAGAGAAATCAAGCGCGCAAGCAAACGACGTGAGATACCCTGATTATGAATGAATACAAGCCATCTTTCCACTCCGACGCAATCTTGATGAAGGTGCACAGTGTTCGGACGAAGATTCTGTGAGTGATCGGTTCACAAAAGCTGATGATCGATTTTCGATCAATCAAGCTACCGTCTGCCCCATCCCCCGCGAATAGAACTCACGGTCAGCGTCGCTGAACCTTCAGAATGAGGGCATGCTCACATTCAGACTTTCCTGGATGCTCCTGACTGCAATTACGTCTAGAGGTCAGTCGAAAAAAGTACGTGTGAGAATGCTCTGAAAGTTGCCCCGGCGGTACAAGCTATTACCACCGTGCGTTCTATTCGGGGAAAGACGGTAATTCGATTGATCCCGTCAAAAACGTTGATGATGAATCAACAAGAGGATAAGAGCAACGGCAGTTTTTTCACTCCTTACATTCCACTTGTCCACATCCATCCAACCATCAGTCAATCAATCGTTCCAATTTCCCCCCGACGAGAATCTCTCCCTCTCTCTCTCTCTCTCTCTCTCTCTCTCTCTCTCTCTCTCTCTCTCTCTCTCTCTCTNGCTTGTCCTTGTACCTGATGTCATGCATCTTGCACTCTTATACACATCTAGATGTGTATAAGAGACAGCTCTCTCTCTCTCTCTCTCTCTCTCTCTCTCTGTGTCTCTCTCTCTCACACACATTCCAGTTTCCCCCCCACGAGAAGCTCTCTCTCTCTCTCTCTCTCTCTCTCTCTCTCTCTCTCTCTCTCTCTCTCACACACACACACACGCACACACAGAGGAAACGATCTATTGCCTACGGCATTCAGAAGCACAGCGCGTCGAAGCGGCAGATGATTTACGGAGCAGAGCAAGAGGACAAGAGAAATGAAGAGAGATTCTAGCACTGAAAGCTACCGTCTTCACCCGAGTAGAACGCCCAGTCATTATAGCTGCATTTGGCCCAACTTTCAGTCCAGATGCAGCAATAATGACCGGGCGTTCTATTGGGGTTAAGGCGATAGTTTCTCGAACTGACCGAATGCTGAAGTCCGACTCCTCATCTCTTCTTTCTATCTCTCCCTCCCTTCAATCATATGCATACGCCAAGAACGACACTGAACTTGTGGTGACGGACGTGCCAAGAGAATGAAGCTGCGCGAACCATATCATTTCTGGCATGCTAGGAAAGAGAACTGCAAACGAACTATATCATTTCTGGCATTTCGGCATATGCTTGCTGGAAATGTGACCGCATGATGGAGGACATGCCCACAAAAGCTGGATCGCAGTTACAGCCTGTTGTATGCTGCGCGTCCCAATCCATCATGCAAGAACGATACGGGCGAGGGCGAAAGAGAGAGAGAGAGGGAGAGGGTGCGAGAGAGAGAATGATCGCAGTGGGACGTGCAAACGAAACACGACGAAAGTCTTACTGATGAGGTAGGTAGAGTGCGAGAGAGAGAGAAGCGACAAATGTGAGTCGCTTGATCTTTCTGTTCTTCGCTACTCTTCCTCTTCTTTACGTTCGCAAGACCATATCACCATGCCCGCCGTCAAGGCGCTCCCTCTTATTTTCAGAAAATTTTACTCCACCCCCCTCTTCCCCTCTCACTGTCTGTGTCCGAGGCGCAAGCGCGTGTACGTGCGCCGCGCACGCATGCGGAAACAGATTGATTGATTGATTGGTTGTACTCGACGACGATAGGTATCAGCACGCCGACGAAAGGGATCAACATCCTAAGGACCGCATCACCCGCCTTCGCCTACCCTCCACCTCCTCCTCTTCCACAGCGCCAAGCAGTACACCCTTCTTTGGCTTCAAACGAAGTTGGGCATCCCACAGTGCATCTCCACCACCACGCCAAAGCGCACAAAGCTCTTCCTCATTATCAATCTCAAGCGGAGGGCGGTACCCTATTCTTATATTCCATAGTTTAGTCCCACAGGCAAGCACTGGCACGCTCTTGGGACAACTTCGAATGGGCCTACCGACCCCACAAGACAAGCAACAAGCCCTTGCAGTCCACAAGGCATGCATGCCATCCTCCTCCCCCTCCTTTTCTTCCTCCCATACCTGCACCCAAGGGCATACGACCTCGCAAGACACAACAACAAGCCCTTGCACTCCACAAGTCATGGATATCCCCCTCCTCTAGTCCTCCGTTCCTCTTCCTGCTCCGCCGCTCCTCTTCCTCTTCCTCCTCCCCTCCGCTTCCTCCTCTTCCTCCTCTTCCTCCTCCCCTCCTCTTCCTCCTGTATCTACACCCAAGGTCAGACTCTCACTGACAAGTTCATTTCGTTTCCGTGCGTGTACACGCCGTTCTCGAAGACTCCACAAGGCATGGATATCCCCCTCCTCTACCCCTCCTCTTCCTACTCCGCTCCTCCTCTTCCTCTTCCCCTCTTCCTCCTCTACATCGAAAGGCAGACTCTCACTGACAAGTTCATTTCGTTTCCGTGTGTGTACACGCGTCCTCGAGCCTGTGCTCAAATGTCGCGTCCAAATCTCAATCTGGCCATGTGAGACCATCATGCGCCCCTAGAGAAGTCATTCGTCACCAGCGGCTGACGGGTCTTCGCTAGGCCCAAACCCAGGAGAAACCCGCATTCTTCATGCCCGTTCAACGCGACCCACGTCCTGCCGCGATGCAAAGGCGGGGGCTAGAGGGGGAGGATAGGGGGAGGAAGAAGGTGAGAGTCGAGCCCGAGTCGGGGAAGGAAAGGGGAGTGTCGAGGGTTTCGCGCTTTGTCATCACGTAATTGCGCAGGGGAGAAGGAGGCTCGCCAAGCGCCGTCCATGCGGAGGGAGGGGAACGGGGTCGTTTGACGGGAAACATGGACAAGGTGGAGGCGGGAGGGAAAAGGAGGACAGGGGGAAAGGCAGGGGAAAAGAGCAAAAGAAGAGCAAGAGAGAAGGTGGGGGAAGACGGAGAGGGAAAAGAGAAGAAAGAGGGGTGAAGAGGAAAGAGGGAGGGAGGAAAGGGAGGGAAGGAGAAGAGAGGAAAGAGGGGTTCGACGTTTCCCGGAATGAACTACCACTTGTACAAACGCACGGCAACAAATTTCCACACATTCTTACAAGCACACAAATACAAACACCCACTTCTATACACATCCACTTTTACAGACAGATACACACACACATCCACTTCCACTTACTCCACACTCACAAAACACGAGCACACGCACGCACGCAC